TGAAATGAATAAATATTCTCATCATTTATGTTACAAAACATCTATGTTGCTGAAATGAATGAAAATGTTACAGAACATCTATGTTACAAAACATCCATACCTTCTATTTGCTTAAATGAATGAATGTTCTCATTATTTTTAAAACATCAATTTTACAATTCAAACCAAACATCCATTGTAGGAAGAAGAATATTTTTCATTCATTAAAACATCCATTATACAATTCATTCTTAAAAACTGAAATCATGATTCATATCTATAATCATGATTTACATATCTAAACCAAGCATACAAATTTTCCTTCCTATTTTTTTTAATTGAAAATAAATAAACAAAACCTAAAAGTAACAAATATTGATAGAACCAATTTTCATCTCTTTCCACCATCTTTATCTTTCAATTTCAACCTTAACATACTAATTTCTCTCTTTAATGAAAAACTTTCTTTAATAACCTAAGTTTCAACACAATCCATAATATTTTTCTTCAAATTTGACACTTCATTCTTTAATTTTTTGACTTGATCATACAACAACATTTTTCTCTTTCTCAGTTCATTAATGATTTGCCTTACTCTATCATAAAATCTTAGGTCATATCATTAATGAAAATCACGTACAGTTTTTATAATCAACATGAAAATTTTCATCGTCACATTTAGCCTAGTCAATAATATATTGTCCTTTCACAAAAATATAAAAGATTATTACTAGGTATTATTAACATCCATGAAATCTTCTATTAAGGTTTGAGGTTACCCATGAAGTCCACGTGGGTGTCTTCAAATTGCAATGATAGATGATGATTTCTCTTTCATAATCAAATTCGATAGGATAACTAATTATAATGATTTTATAAGATTTCAAATGCAAACACCTATAGCTCGACTCACCCTTTGTTGAATTGAAAATGTAAGAAACAAAAACCCAAAAACAACATTCAAAAACAAAGTCACTAGAAAAGAGAGAGAGAAATCTTTAACCTTAAACCAAATAATTGAAAAAACTTTGCGAAAGCATAGTAACCTTGAAGAGAGAATGCTTGAAGAACTCATTTGGTTTTGAGTTTGTTATTATCAATAGATTTGGTTTTAGATATTGGGTATTTCATGTTTTTATTGTTTTATTATGAATAGTATTTTGCTATCAAAGTATTTTATATTTTTTTGGATTGGATTTAATAGCTTTAACAAAAAATGTAAACGAAAAGTGGATTTAAAGGTGCATCTAGGCCATAATTGTAACTTAGTCCTTATTTAAAGACATTCGAAAACATTAAATCCTAAATTGAACCAAATTAAAGTTGATATCCTTAATTGAAAAAACACGCAAATGTTAGATTCTTAATTACGCATTTAGCCTAAAATTTTATCTATATCAATAACCACGTTTCTTGTTATAGAAACGTAATCATTAATAAATCATAGTAATTTTTCACCTAGAAACGTAGTAAATGGCAATGATCATGTTTTTTAATTTCAGAAACACTATATTTTTAACATATGAAACATAGTTGATATTTTAAAATAATAACAACATAAATTTGATATTTTTAATATCAACGATGTTTCTTTGTATGCAAATGTAGTAATAGATAAAACATAACATTTTTTGATATATGAACATGATTGTTATAGGTATATATTAAGAACTACATTTTTTATTATGAAAATGCAGTTATTGATAATAAATTATAGTAATTGATCACTTGAAAATGTAGTAATTGGCAATGACCATATTTTTTAGTTTAAAAACATCGTTGATAATAGAAAAAAAAAACAAAATAAACTAACAAATAAACACGATATCAACCATATTTTTTTTAAACAACGTAATAGAGCTCTAGTTAAACCCAAAATTGTACCCTTTCTGTTTCATACAACATCACCTTCTAGCTTTATGATTTCATCTTCATTCAAATCATTTTCGCTCATCTTTATTATTATATGGTTAGTCTACTTTTTGTTTTGTATGATTTGTTTTGTATTATTTGTTTACATCAGATGTCTTCTTGTTATATTATTAGATCTAGGGTAGATCGTAATTTAAAAATTGTTAATCTATCATATGTGTTCTTGCTATTTGTTATTCATTGGATATGGCTTAGATTTCAATCTACCAAATGCACATTATTGCTTTTGAAATATGTTTTCAACATTAACAAAATTTTTCTTATAACTAGTTATGACTCGTTTATCAATAAGAAAGAAGATGCAATTGGTAACAATGCTTATTTTGCAAATGAACCAAATAGAGAGTATGTTTCAACTATTACTTATTGTTGCTGTGACATTAATTGCTATAAAACTTAAAAAAAGATGTAGAATCATTTATACTGATGAAACTCTTAATAGGCTTTAGATTATGTCATTGAATTTAAACAAGATGGTTTTTTAGAGTGATATACAGAGTGTGAATAATTATAGATTGGATAGGGTAACTTTTGTAAAATTATATCAATTACTTCAAACATAAGAATGATTAAAGACATATAGATATATCTTAATAAAAGAAATGATTATTATTTTCCTTTACATCATTGCCCATCATACAAAAAATAAGATTATGAAATATCAAGTAGGCAAATCTAGAGAGAAAATTAGTATGTTACATTGAATTTTATTTTGAGACTGTTGCATTCCCTGTTGTTTAAAAAACCAGAATTGATAGCAGAGAAATCAACAGATAATAGATGAAAATGGTTTAAAGTAATGCATTAATTATTGCTTGCACTAAATAAATATTAATAAATCTTAAATTTGTATAATTTATTAATTAGAGTTGTTAGATTTAGGATTGTTTGGGTGCTTTAGATGGAATTTATATAAAGGTGAATGTAGGCTCAGTTGACAGGCTTAGGTATAGGATTAGGAAAAATGAAATTGCTAAAAATGCTCTTGGTGTTTGTACACTAGACATGCAATTTATTTATATTGTACTAGGATGGGCAGGTTCTACAGAAGATGACAGAGTGCTCAAAGATACCATTACATGTCCATGAAAAAGATTGCTATGCATATATCGGATTTATCTGATAACTAAATTGAAATAAATTTTATCCATTCTACGTCACTAATTCCAATTAAATATATGGTTAGGGGATAAGCCAAAAGTTTAGAATTATTAGATTTAGGTAGTATATATTTTTAGTTAATCTGCCTATAAAATCTTTAAATTTTAGACTAGCAAATTGTAATACAATCATTTTATACTCAATGGTATGTTAAAACATTCCTATAAAGAATAAAATAATACATTGGAATAATGTAGTGTAATTGCATTCTATAAGCAAAAGACATAAAAAAAGTAATAACTTTTATTTGATTAATATAACTTACCACAATTGATTCTCAAATTTGGTTATTTTGCTTTGCTAGAACGTTCCTCCAACTATTGTAGTTAATGGATATCATCTCTCGGATGAAACATCTAAGAGGGCTAGCCATCTTCGACCCACTATTAAGACAAGTTGGTTATTGGTATTGAACTAAACATGTATTTTTATCCCAGTTGCTTGAAGCAACTTAAATCATCCCTTAACTTATTTTTTTTCAAATGATGTGTCAACCAGATGGGTTAATGATACATGTTCTTCTTCATATTTAGTTGAAGTAGACATATGTTCTTTAGAATCCATTATATCAATTTATCTCTACAAACAAATATGAAATGGAAAAGAAATATACTTCAAATACCTTAATATTTGCTTTGTTTAATAAAATAAGCAATAATGAGAATTGATTTGTTACTTGATACAAAAACAATATCGATGACGACAACAATTGCTATAGCGATTTGATAGTATAGTGGTCATTTAGACATAAAGAAAAATGTCGAGCGATGCATTGATGAAGATAAGAGAGACTTGTTTACAGATTTAGGGAAAAAAGTGTATACAAAATATCAAACACTACATTTATAATAGCAAAAATGTCATGCTTGTTAAATAAAACTTTTTTATAATTTGTCAAACATTGCGTTTATAATAGTAGAAACTTCATGTTTGTTCAAAGACTGTGTGTATTAAACTTAAATGTTGTGCTTGTTTATTTGTCAAACATTGCATTTGTAATGCCAAAAATGTTTTTGTTCAAAAACTATGTTTACAAAACCAAAATGTTGTGCCTTTTTTTTTTTTTTATCAAATATTATGTTTATAATGATAAAAACATCGTGTTTGTTATTTATTACGGCGTTTATATAATAAAAACGTCATGTGTCCTTTATTATATTTTGTTTTTTTTGTTCATAATATATGAACTTATTTTTAGTAATGAAAAAAAATGAAAATCTTCTTTATTTTTGTTATTTAATAGTTGTTACATGTTCTTTTTAATAACATAATTAGGAGTTGTAATATTTGTCATGTGATATTCATATTTAATGAAAGATATTATAGTAAAAACCCTTTATTATGTAATCTAAAATTTCATAAACCAAATATAAGAATCTAACATTTTCATAATTGGAAAAATCACTCCTTATAAAAAATTGACTCTTTTTCTAATATCATTCTCTAAAAAATCTTAAATTTCATGAATCAAACAGGGCCTAAAACTTTTTCAATACTATTTTGTAACTAATCCAAAATTTGATGAATCCCAAGTTTTTGAAAATCCGCCTCCAAGTTTATACGAAGACAAGTTAATTAGTTTAATATTTCTTTATAAAAAGTAAAGTGACAAACAATTCAATCAAATACAAAGCATCTTAGCAATCATGTTTTGTGTTGATGCTACAGGGGCGTGTGCATTTATGCTATGATTGTGGTAATGAGCAAAGATTTCGATGACTTGTCTTTTTTTCTCTGTGAATTTGAATAGCGTAAAATATTAATTATTTATGTATTTGTGTGATATTTTATTTAAATAATTATATGTTATAATTTATATTGATATAAAAATAACAATTTTATTTTTTTATTTTGTTAAATTTATATATAATTTTTAATAAAATTTTAAATTATATCATTTTCTTATTTTTATTTATATCATGTTTCTATTTTACATTTTAAATTATTATTAAGTCTACTTACAAGGATACGCAAATCCCATAATAGTGTCAAGTTGGTTATGACCAGCTTGTTCAAATTGTAAACTTGGAATTTTCTGGGAATATTTCAGTTCCAAGCCTGCTTCATTGGCACTACATGTCAAGATCAAACATAGCAACTAGAACAGTCAGGCTTTCAAAGGATTTCAAGGTTAATAGAAGATTTTTTGATGGAAAATAAAGAAAAAATTTTGAAAAATTTATCAGCTTCTTGGCGTGCAGTTTTTCCCCTATGATTTTGAGCTCATTCGGTCACTAGATTCACTTACCAAGGGCAAGGGGCCCCCAATCAATAACACATGCACCTAAAAGCAAGAAGAAACATATGCACCTGTTCTGCAATATTTGTGACCAATTTGCTTTTGTTTTACTTTGAGGGTGGGGTAAGGAAACGATCAAAAATCCAATTAAAATCCTAACTGGAGAGGGGGCCCTGCCTTCTCTCCCCATGCCTCATATTTAAAGACATTGATTGAACAATGAAGACTCTTGTGGGCACTAATTATGCAGTAAAAATCATTTTTCGTGCATTCCTTAACCATAAAAGAATCTAGCTACTTACACAAAACTGTCGGCAATGCATCTCTATTTTTTTTTTCAAATGTTATTTTTTAATAGTAATTATATGAATCAATTAAATTAAATTCTAAATTCACATTACTTTGAATAAATAGTAGATCACTAATTTGTTATAGTTAATCAGATGTGGGGTATTGCATTTTGATTCATGTTGCATTTGTGAGGATAAAACTTATAAGAAGTTTTGTAGGTGAAATTTGTGAAATTTCTTCTTAAAAATGATTTAACAAAATTTTAATAAAAAATTAAAACCAAAAGATTGATAGAGTTTAGTGTGAAAATCAATCATATATAAAAGTTATTAAAAATGTTGTTTATAATTTAAATTTGATCGATATTTATTTGACAGTAAAAATTTTGTTTACATTTTTGATTAAAAATGTCTTTCTAAGAATATATATATAAAATTTTTTTCAAATTTCACATCTTTGTAAAGAGATCTTTCAATTTATAGGTTATGATTTTTAATTTTTATTTTTATTTAATCATTTCTAATAAAAAATTTCGTAAATTTTACTTAAAAAACTTCATCTAAATTTTTTTTCATTTATGAACCTTGCGAATTTAGCTAATAATGAATAAGCAACATTTTTTACATTAAGCAGTAGAATATTCATGTAAATCATCTATACAATTCTCATCCGAGATCATCATAAAATTAGTCTCTAAGGTCATCATCTAGAAGGGGTTTACCTATCAGTATCAAGGAATGTTGCTTCATTGAATAGCACAAACGCAAGAGTTCCTAACTCCCTCGAGCTCTCCATCATCTGACACACTTTTATGATAAAAAGAAAAAAAGAAAAAGAAAAAGCAAGGAGTCAGAAATACAAAAAGTTGGAAGCCGGAGCTTTAATTGATCAATTGAATCATGCAGTAATTTTTAGCAGATTTAGATTCAAATTTCAATATATATATATATATATATATATATATATATATATATAAGAAAGTAAGTTGGTTTAGCCCTGAACTTACCCATGAAAAGGGAGCTCAGACATATTCAACATTTACCCATGTTAATGAGATTCCTTTAAAAAGAATTAACCCTTGTCTATCTTAGATTTGAATTGGAGTTGTAGGTGGATATGTAAATAGATAATATTACCTTGGCTCAAACTCCTGGACATGAGCAATGTCTTTTCCATGAGCATCTGGCCAACTTACTTTTCTCCTTTCTGTCGTTAAGAGATTCCCCAGATCTACTATTGTACTAGTTGTTTTCTTGAGATTACTCTTGCGAGTTGGAATTAGTTCAATGTTGTGAGGTCCATTAGTCCCACTATTACTGCATCTACTGTTGCTGCTACCACCATTCCTGATCCTGTCTTGGCCTAATTGTAATTCCTCATTATTACCAACTTCTTCCATGACCCCATCTTTAATATTCTTTCCCACACCAGACCTCCTCTTGATGTTGCTGCCGCTGCTACTGCTATTGCTTCTGTTGTTTATTTCTTCACCTTTGCTATCCAGATTCCCTGATGGTACATAGCAAGAGCAGACTAGAGCAGTGCACCTGTTCTGTGCCGACGCCGCCAGGAGTACAGCCCCACCCAAAACAAGCTTATATATATGTCTTATTTCATCATACCATAGCCATGAACCCTGCTTTGATTATTATGTCTATTTGATCAACCAAATAAAAATGGTGAAGAAACAGCTTCATGTATATGTAAATATATACGATTTATGAGTACAACTTTGATTTACATAGAAGAATAGGAATAAGAAGATGTGGTGGAATTTTTAGGTTGCGAAAAGATGGATGGATGGCCGGATATAGAAGGCAAGTGCAATTATGTTTTCATATGGGCAGCTTCCTCCACTCAAAGTTGTTTTCTTTTGCTTTTGCCATCAGCACTCATTATTGAGGTGAAAATGAGGTGAATCAAAAAAGGATTGGATTGCTCATCACCCCCAACTTTTGACTGTTTTGTGGGGAGAATATGTATTCATTGTTTGAGTTAATCTTTTTTCTTTTCCTTTCTCATTTTGTTTTGCTTTTTTCATGGCATGAGAGCCTGCAATCAACAAGTGGCAAGAGAGGAAAAATTATAGTTTCACGGGACATTATTGTTGAAAAAAGGAATAAAGAGAGAATTGTATCTAAAACTTCTTTTTGTTTACATTATATAAATTCATTGTGCTTTTGCTTTGCGTTTTTTTTTTTTAATTTTTTCGGCAAGTGTGTTTTCGGGTTGAGGGCGGCTTAATTTGTTAGGGCTTAAAGGAAAGCTTTAAGAGTGCATTTAGGGGAATCTACAATTTTTATTTTTTTTTGAAATTTTGATGGTGAATATTTGTTTTTCATGTTTGGTTTAGAGTAGTTTGATTATGGAGAAAATATTAGATTTCCAACATTATTTAAAGTCTTCTTTATTTTTGTTATTTAATAGTTGTTACATGTTCTTTTTAACAACATAATTAGGAGTTGTAATATTTGTCATGTGATATTCATATGTAATGAAAGATATTACATTATAGATGCCTTAATTGATATCAATTAAAGCATTTCTTCCTACTAACACTTTAATAGATATAATTAAAGAGTTTTTTTTCCTACAAATACCTTATTTTATCTATTCAAATAAAGTGTGTTTTTTTTTATTATAAATGTTTTATTTTATAGACGATCTTTTATAATTTTTATAAAAGCAAATAAGGTATTTGTTTGAATAAACGTCTCATTTGATATATATTTTTTTAATATATTTACAAAAGTAAATAAGACATTTAGCTCTTTCAAATGTCATAATTAATTTTTTTTATATTTTAATTAAACAATTATGACTTGATATCTAGTTAAACATCATAATTGGGTATATTTAATTAAAAAATTAAAATCTTTCTTTTCTTTTGCTATTATAAGCATCATTTATTGTTTGATTTTTTTTAATTAAAACAAAAGGAAAGGATATCTATAGCTTGTCAAGGAGATTATTTATTGATTTTCCCACTTTCCTCATATATTAGTTTTAATCTTTATTTATTGATTTAGAGATGTTATGAGATGAAAGCCTATAAAGCTTATTTGAATTTAAGAAAATCACAAACATTTCACTTATAATTTTTTTTATTGTAATTATGTAATTAGTCAATTACAATAAAAATATGTAGGGATCCACCATTTAAAAGTGTGAGTTTTACATAATTTTTTTTATATATTTTATGCATTACTAAATTATAATTGATTAATTATACTATAATAATTATAAATGATATGCTAAAAAAATCTATTCAATTTATTTAAAGTTGAACCTAACTTAACTTGATTAAAAAAAATCAACAACGGAAACCATCCACACTGAATTCAAAATAATTCAAACTAAAATAATTACAATGTCAAAGTCAAAAAACTTATTACCACTTCGTCATGATCGGTGTTTCAATTTTTTTTTTATAAAAATATATGTTCATTATTTTCCTTTTCTTCATTTAGGAGCTTAATTTAGCAATCTGTTCAATTCAATAGTAAGTCACTTCATTATCAAAAAACAAGTTTACTTCATTTTCACTTATTTTCTGTCTTTTTAGGCACATTTGGACAAAGATGCCTTGGTACAAACAAAATAACTCAACTCAGGCATCTATTTGATCCAAACCGCGAGTAGGAGATCCTGAGACCTTAAATTTCAGGTTCAAATTCTATCATTTGTAAGTTTGATCTAAATTTATAAGTAAGATTTTAGTGTATTAATTCGTTAATTTATTGATTGATTATTTCCTTGATCTTTTATACCAAATGTAATAGTCATATCACATATTGAAAGCTATTTAAGTGTAATTGTAATTGTAATTTTTGTTTGCACATATAATTAATTTCATCTACAATTAAAAGAAAAAATACCCCAACTAGATGATGGATTAATGGTGCTACAAAATTTAATAATTGATCCAAACCACCATAAATTATCATATGGCGACCGACATGTGAGTGGTCGATTTTCGACATGAATCGTTGTTGATGAGGTTACCAAAACCTTAAATTTCTAGGCAAATTTCTCAATAATGTTTGTAGGAAAGCATGGTTTAAATCCAAGACCATTGCCATTTGAGTTCTAACCATCAGCTGCTACGATCAATCTAGCCCTTTCACGAGCAATAATATATACCCCATTAAAGGCAATGCAATTCCATATTATTTTTGCTCTTAAAACTGCCTTTGGACAATGTAGCTCTATCAAATTGTATGTTTCACCCCTATCAGAAAGATACATTGAACCAAAATTTTTTCTTGGTGGATCGGTTCATGAATTCAAACACTTTGAAGAAAACATTAAACTGTTTGGTTGTTTCCTATATGACTTATAATTGGTTTCATGCAGGATTTAGGGAAACTTAACGGATATTACATTTGATTATTATATTTTGTAAGAAAATATGAAATTTACCAATGAAATTTACTTGGTCAAATGACATTTTATTATCAATCACAGGAATTGATTAATGGGCTTGCACAAGGCCCACCATTCACATGATAAACAGGTTCAAGCTAGGCCTTGGGCAGTCTGCAATGGTTATGGTGGGCCCAATAAGCTAAATCCAATTAGCCTTTGGGCAACATCCTCAATCCAATATGCTCGTGAGTCCAATTGCCTGATTCGTTACCACCCTCAAAATTTAACGAGCCTCCCTTTGGCATCTTAAAGCGAGTTTGCAAAGCAGCTTCACTCTATTTTGCATGAACAAAAAGCTACCATTTTGTTGGCATTGTGGTTTTTTTTGTTAAGTGCAACTCTTCTGTTGCTTATGACATATCTAGCTTGTGCTACCAGTGTTTATTGTGATTTTTGAGGACACCTGGATTAGGTATGGCTATAACATGGGATAAGAGACTTTCGAAATTTATGATTTTTGTGAAATTCTATTTAGCTAAGTTATTTGAGAGTTTGATTTTTGAATGACTATGATTATAACAATATGATTACCTACATTTATTTTTGAATCAAAATTGTTATGATTATAATAAAAGGCCGAGGAACCATTACCATCTCATTAAATAGAAACTAGTTTGAATAAACTTTTACCTTAACCATTACCATCTCATTACATAGAAGCTAGTTTGAATAAACTTTTACCTTATATTGTGGAACTTTTGCCATAAGATATTGACGAGGAAATTGAGAATAAAGAAATATTGATAGTTGTTAGGGTTTACTTTGAATCTTTTAATCTCACATTGAAAGTTAAATGAAGTTATAAGAGTTAAAAATTTATCTTGTATCTCACATAGGGAGTTTAGTAAAGTTATAAGGAGTTTCACCTTTATAAATAAAATGTTTTGGTTTTAGTTTGATAATTCTAAATAGTTAAACACTAAAAGAATAGCTAAGTGAGTAGGCTATTAAAATGGTGTAATTGAATTTTGGGTTAAGTTTTGAGTAAGGAGTTATATATGACTTTTCTCATTCCAAAAGTCTCAGTTGTAATGATTTATTTGTCAGTAGATTGGGTTTGGAGTTGACCATTTTGAATTAGGTCGAATATATTTATGTGTTTTTATTCTTATTTTGAGCTTGCTCTATTGTTTATGTATACCGGTGCTGTGCATATATGTTGATTTTTCAATAAGTGGTATCAGAACAAGGTTTGAGGTTTGAAATGTCGAAAGAAAAGAAGCAGGCTAAGAGACTGTGAAACAAGTATTTCAATATGTATGAAGAATGTATATCTAGTATGCCTATGCCTAAGTTTAAGATTCTACTATTTGATGGAAAGAATAATTTTATGTTATATCAAAGTGCAATTCAAGATCTGTTAGTACAACAAGGATTGGATTAGGCATTAGAGAGTAATAAGCTTGAGGGAATGTCTGACCGTAATTGAAATAAAATTAAAAAACAAAGCTATTAGTACTATTACATTGACACTAAACCTAGAGATAAAGTACAATGTGTTGACTGAAAGAAAAAAAGCAGGCTAAGAGACTGTGAAACAAGTATTTCAAGATGTATGAAGAATGTATATCTAGTATGCCTATGCCCAAGTTTAAGATTCTACTATTTGATGGAAAGAATAATTTTATGTTATATCAAAGTGTAATTCAAGATCTGTTAGTACAACAAAGATTGGATTAGGCATTAGAGAGTAATAAGCTTGAGGGAATGTCTGACCGTAATTGAAATAAAATTAAAAAACAAAGCTATTAGTACTATTACATTGACACTAAACCTAGAGATAAAGTACAATGTGTTGACTGAAAGTACTCCAAAGAGTTTGTGGGATAAGCTTAAGGGTATTTACGCTTCAAAGTCTTTGATTAACAGATTATATTTGAATATGGATCTGTATTATCTGATTATGAAAGAAAGTACGAGTCTTTATAGTCATCTGAATAAGTTTAATATATTAGTTTCTCAATTGTTAGCTATTTTTGTTGATGAGTTAGAAAAGAAAGAGAAGGCTTTAATTCTATTGTCATATTTGCCGAAGTCCTATAGACTTTTAGTTCAGACCTTGTTGGTGATAGGTCTATTTTGAAGTTGGATGGTGTGACTGTCCTATTGTCTGAGAATGAAAGGTTTATGGGAAACACAAAACTTATTACCTAGAAGGAGTGCACTAATTATAGAAAGTTATGATCGAGAGATAACTTGAAAGAGGGTTGATAAATTAAAAAAAAGATACAAGTCAAGAGATAGAGACTACAGTGACATAAAATGTTATTATTATGGTAAAAAAAAGACATATCCAAATGCACTACAAGAAGCTGAGAAAGGATATGACTATTTATAAAAGAGCAAATGACGAAAAGAAATTAGATAAAGGAAAGAGTAATACTATTGTTGTTGTGTTTGATTATGCTAATATTGTTTTGACGACTTGTCTGGATGAGACTCAAATTTTGAAAGGTGATAAAAGTTGGGTTTTAGATTTAACTACTAGAGTCCTTATTTGTAATGATAATAGTTATTTTGTAAAGTTAAA